AAAGCAGGTAGTATTCCATACAATCAGTCCAGGGATAATCCAAAAACAAAGTCCAGTATCATAAACAAAGTTCAGTAAACAAAGTTTGCTAACAGTTGCAAAACTCACAGCAATCCAAGTAGAATGATGATCAGGCAATACGGCAAAACAGGAAATGCAAGGAGAAAGAAATCAGGTTTCTGACTCCATCTTATGGCCGTTGGAGAAATTTCAGCCAATCACATTTACAGCATTCTCTTAAAGATACAGCATTAAATTACTATCCTGGTTTATATATTTCCAACCCAACTGTTAGGTGACTATCATTCCTAACAGGAAGCACATTAAAAAATGCATGATTCTATTATACCAATTGCAATAAAAGTAATCCTGATGTACATGGCTTTGGTTTTTGAATCTGATCTACTTTGTAGGGTTGCTATTATATGATCTGGCCACAGGAAGATTCTATGCCAGACACCTAACCATATTGTCCCTTAAGCCTATATGGCTCTTGGGCTCATTTCAAACTTCCTGTGTAAAAAGATCATGAAGTGCTTGTTCACCTGTGTTTTGGAAGAGAATGTCCAAAAGTTAGAAAGAGAGGTGTCTGAGAAAATAAATACCCCTACTCACTTTTACCTTGCTCATTGCTTACCTAAGTTTTAGCCACCATGTACAGTATTTCTTAGATTGTCTTGGCAAAATGTTTGCACACCCTTGATACTTACTGAGAGTATCAAAGAATCAAAGAACTCTTTAAATGAACATGTTTGTAAGTTGCAGAACGTAAACTGTAGGACTAATATTAAAATATACAACAAAGAATTACATGTAGTGTATGTTTAGTGATTGCTTGGTTAGCATCTGTTATAATGGTGATAAAAAAGTTAACTTTACAATCATTTATGCAGGTCTGTAAAACAAAAGAAAACTGAAGTAAGATTTTGAGCATAGTTATTTCATTTAACTTCTTCACAATTACCAAAATGTTCCAACTGTGGTCACTAAACAAGTACAAGGAATAATGTATTATTAGATACATGGCTAACGTTTAACAGAAATAAAAACAAACAGAAAACAAAATTTACAAAGTAGTTAATTGTATTTACCAGAAAACTGATATCCTATTCCTTATTTCATTTTTAAAAACTGTTCATGACCAGACATAAATTAGCTGTAATAATTCAGAAATGTACTATGTTGTTAAATAAATTGGTGATGCAGGAACCTATTAACAGAAGGCTTTGTCTTTTATATAAACAAATTTGATGTAAAATGGATCCTCATTACTTCTTTCTTTGGCTGGCATCTTTTAAAAAATTCACCAGGTTAATGCTGCACACAAAACTCTAGAGAAAAAAGTATCAAAGGACATGCAGTTCAGTTGGATAATTGGTCTGATCAGATATGCCAGAATTGGTGTAAAAACAGTTTACACCTTTTCAAAAAGTTCACTCTCGACAATCTTTGAAGAAGGTTGGAAGCTTTTTAAAGTTGAATGATATCATTGGTATCCTGTTTAAAGTTTGGAAAAAGCAGAACATGTAAACTAAATAGAAAACCAGTATTCAGCTGCACCATTTAAATTATTCTTGAGACTCTAGGTTTTCCTTGGAAATAAGGTTTTTGAAGCCCTGTTGGTATACATAACTAGCCTTTCATCATACAAGCTACTACATTGTAATCTAGTTTTGGATTACTTTGACGAGTAAACCCAGTCAATTATGGCATATTCAATAAGCCATGGTTAAGTAGACCATCACTTAGGACAATGTATGAACCGAGGTAAAGTCTTTTGCTGTAATTCTCATGAATGTATGCAACTTTGGGCTCAATAGCTAAGTTTGCGCAGATACCTATGACTCCTCACCAATAATACTTCTGGTTCAGGCTAGCAGGCTTGTCTAAAGATAACACAAATTGCAGTCTGATATAATTCAAAAATCTAGACTGAAAAAAAAAGAATCTAGAACTCAGAAACATGGAGTAGCTTGTAAATTCATGTCTTCCAGGATGACATGGACTTGTAAGTAATCACAGCTCCAACATACATGGCCAGGCAGAATTTGGATCTGTACTTTATTTTGGAGCAGTTGAGATATGAATTGGATATGGAACACATTAATATTTATCTTTACTATGGTCAATATTCTTTATCAAACTTTATCATACATGTAGATCTTTGCATAGGGAGTCAACCACTTAAGATTGCTCCACTCAAAAGCCAAGTATATATGGATGAATTCTAGAGGACAGTTGACTTCTGGACTAAGGAGACAACCAAAATTGTTCTTGCGAGACCTCTTCCAATCATCCACCCTAAGCTGCTCCATGGTTCAGCAAGGTTCTAAGGAGATGAAACAATCACAAAGAAACTAGTAGGACCAGGCACTAGCATAATTTGTTTGAGTCTACACAGTGATAGTCTGAGTAGCAACCTGTCAATTCTTATGTTTAATGTATCTGCAAATCAAGAATGGTGGCTCTACTCAAGGAACACTAAGAGGGATATTTTGCCCATAAGCATGCCAGATGAACTTGCTGATGTTTTTCTGGATAAGGTTGCTTGTAACTACTGAGGTACAATAGATCATAGACAAAGACCACATGATGAGCAAGGCAGGGCCTCGAATGTCGTCTATGTGTTTGACTCATATGTTTCTACAGATAGTATTGACAGTACTGAAGGGTGCGAGCTATTGTTTCAATGATTCCTGACTTACATTGAGAAAGGATTTCTATTTCTATGGGATTTTATGGAGTCCTTACAGGGCTGAAGTTTGCTGGACATTATAGAGTCCAGGGTCAAAGTTCTTTGGAGTTTTATGGTGCCTTCCAGAAGAAGAAATACTGGACTGAGGACAACTTGATGAAAAGTCATAATTAGTAGTGTTTTGTCCAACCAATTTTGCTATTTCAAGGTAAAAGGACACAGATTTGTAATGTCTAAATAACATTCTCTTTTTCTCTCCATGTAGTTTCTTTTTTCCTTCATCTGACACATTTCAAGATTCGTTCCTTCCATTTCTCTACTTCCCTCCCCAGTGCAGCCTCACCCCATCTCCAACTTGTGTTCTGCTGGAAAAGGAGAGAGAAGAAGGGTAGTGTACTTTATAGGTTTCTCGGAGAGAAAATAATTTTTGAGTGTGAGCAAGAATACTAGGTACATAGGGATCAATTATTTTTATAAATATATAATTAATTTGAATCAGTATTTATTAATTAATATTATCACCCCATAGCCTTTTGTGAAAATGTAGTTCTGGCAATGTGTCTGTATATGAGCACCTGGGCAAATGTTGAAGTGTGTCAGCTGGACACATTTATTAGGGAGAAGAGAATCTCTCAAACTGGTTTCAGTTGGAATCAGCAGCATCTACCTTCAGATGTCAGCAATATCTACCTTTCTTAATCCTGAAATCTCTTCATTCCTACTCTAGGCAAATTTTTATTGTCATCTTTGCTTTCTTTGTCTAATATAAAGGTAGAAGAGGAGAGTGAAAAGAATAATAATAATACAACTAGTCCTCAACCATTCATTTAGTGACTGTTCAAAGTTACATCAACACCGAAAGAAGAGACTTTTGGCCATTTTTCACACTTATGACCATTGCAGCACCTCTGTGGTCATGTGATCAAAATCCAGGCTCTTGGCAACTGGCATGTATTTGACATTTGCACTATCCCAGGGTCATGTGATCACCATCTGTAACCTTCTCAACCAGCTTCCAACAAGCAAGTCAAGGGGGGGGGGATCTAGATTCGCTTAACAACTGCACGATCCACTTAACAACTACAGTCATTCATTCAACAACTGTAGCAAACAAGTTCAAAAAATGAGGCAAAACATACTTAACAACTGCATTGCTTAGCAATGGAAATTTTAGGCTCAATCGTAGTCACAAGTCAAGGATTACCTAGAATTTATTCTTAACAGAATATACTATTATTTTATAGATATACATAAAGGTGACTTCAAAATAAGTTATTTGGAAAATATGTTTGTTTCTAAAATACAGTTAAATACTTCATTATTTTATAGTTGATATTTCTCCAATTATCATTGCCGATATTAATATCAGTATTTCTTTTTAGTAAAAATATGTTTTGAATAAAAAGTAAGTTAATAACTTTACTGATGATCATTAAAAAATAGCACCAGTTTAAAATTCATGATTTCAGAACATTTATACTGAAAAACAGTAAAATAAATAAATCCCTACCACAAAGAACAGTAAAAAAAAATTCTAAGGTAGTTTCATATTTTGTTAGATGAACATGCCAGTTTATTTTGTTCTGTATCTATCACACATTTGTGAATATACTTTGACTATTTGAATTAGTCTACATAAGTGAAGCAAATCCAGATGCTAGTGAATATGGTAGGTCATCTGTTTTTGCGCACCAATCCCAGGAATAGGATCCAAGGCAAAAGTAAACCCTCTTCCTCTTTAAAAGTCAGTTTATGAGCTCCTCCTAGGCTGCTTGTTTCATCAGAGAACTGTATTCTTCTGCCAGCTTCTTTTGTTCATTTAGTTTTTCCAGCACTGCATCCATTAAATACGAGGCAAAAGGAAACTGGAAGGGAAACAGAGCAAGAAAAATGATCAGTGAAGCCTATATATATATATATATATATTCAGCTGAAAAACATTTACTAAGTATCTTAAAGCCATTAGATTTCACTTAGTCCTGACAATGGTACTCCTGCTCAAGAACTGCGTTTCTCTAAAATGGAGCCTTCTGATTAGTGTGTGTAACTGTTCCTTATCATAAAAATGATAAAAGAGCAGAATAAAATGAAAAAAAGATAAACGCCTTATTGAACAATTCATGGTTTACTGACCATGTTAATGATGTAATCTGCAAGACCAGCAGCTCTGTCATTTATCTTCAATCAGCTGATCAATATGAAGTTACAGTCATCTCCAGGGCACTTATAAGTAGACGCAGCACTACAGGCTGACTGCTCTCAGGAGGGCAGAGACAGAGCTATCAATACAGATCCAAGCGCTGGGGGCAAAGGCTTTCAGAGGCATCCAGCGAAACTTGTGACTCAAGGCAGAAAATAACTTCCGAGATCAAGACACAATTAGAGTATTCTAATCAAAAGTCGTTCCCCCTCTTTTCTTTTTGAGTAGTGACGAAAATGGAAGAAGACATATGACAAGATCCCACCCAAAGCAGAGATGGAACTATTGTAGGGGAGAGAAATATATCCCCCCCTCCACACAAAAAAAACCACCCCGTTACATCTCCACCCTGGCTTTATTTTATTTGAAATTCACATTCAAATAAGAGAAAAATATGACTCACAAAGTGTTTGTGAGACAGAAATGAAGATTTATTTAACTATGAGGCAACTGACTAGTCTTCAGCTCACTTCTAGTCAATGAGCCCTCTATGAACAGTCCGCTAAATTTCTACCACATCAGCCCAACAATTATTGTAATGGCAGAAAACGGACAGGCAATTTCCCAAATGGTCCCTGAACTATGTTTGTGAGAATATAAAAACTGTAACCACAGCAGACAATAGGAGGGGAAAACATTTCTTTCCCTGCAGGTTGTGATATGGAAATCTCAAATGTTGTGGCAGAGGTAACGAGAAGCAGCTTAGCTTGCACATTAAGCAATAATGGAAAATCAATCAGTTGAAAAAATTGGTTGGACTGAGAGAGATGCAAGTTTTGTATAACAGGAACTTAGCATAAACAAGTAACTTGAGATATATATATATATATAGGAGACGGCAGACTGCATAAGGCCCTATGTGGATACTGTCATCCCAGTATGGCACTGGCAGCAATGGTTTGCTAACAAGCTGGTAAGTCCAGAAAAGGCTTCTGAATGAGAGATGTCTGACTCCTACCCGGGGCAAATGGTAGGCATGTTGAATTTTCCCAACGGAATTATTTGATGTCATCTTGACAAAATCACAGTGAAGCCACAAGGCACGTGTGTCTCTATTTATTCTCTGTAATATCAAAATGTTTTCTTGATATTCCGTATAAGAAAACCTAGATAGTAGGGAAATTTCTATTTCTGTGTTATGCCTGGGCTTGGAAAAAACTAATTTGACTTTTTCCCTTGTGTATTCTCTATCACTGCTGTGAAGTTTACTATAAAAGTTGGCTGAACTGGGAGACAGTGTTCTGCATCAAAATATGAAAATATTTTTCTGTTTTTTAAAACCAACATTTAACTCCTGCTTTGTGATTCTTTTTACTTCCAGGCAGTTTTTTTGTGTTGAATTGCCAAATTTCAAATTTACTAGTGATGCTGCAAAGTTGGGTTTTCTGTCCTAACAGTATCAATTTGATGGAATTTAAATCTCTATTTGTAGGTGTCTTCTGTTAAATTGGGGAGCGGGGGAAGCGTTGGGTTTAGAGACAATTTCTGATTTTGATCAACTCTACAATATTCAAGCACAGCTAACTCAGCAACATGAGAAATTTTTTGGGTCATCTATAGTTTTTATAATCCCAAAATAAATAAAGCAGTAACATAAGGTTAGGTGTTTTTAAAATGCTCTTTTTTATTTATGTTTTAAAATGTGAAGTTATAAAATACATTTTCTTCTGCATTCAGTTCCCATTCTTCCTTCAGGCTCTGTTTTCTGAAGTTTATCAAACTTGTTTTGCACTATGTAGGTCTCCATTTACTTTTGATACATCTATTATTTTTAGTGTTTTCTATTAGATGAATGTATTATTCCACCACTGTCTTGGGCTTGTGATCATTCTATACTTTGCTTGCTGTTTATCACGTTCTAAGGCTGCTTTGTCACTGTAAAATGATTTTTAAAGAGCTGTTTCTATCTTAATCATTCAGTACAATCAAGGATAACCGGCATTTGAAATGTTGCAGACATCTTATACATTCATCAGTTTCTGGGACCTGTTCTTATCTAGTTCACTTTATAGACATACATTCTACAGGGCACCTTTGCAGTTCTTCATCTTCTACTAAAGACTGTCACATTTTTATGAATAGTCGAATAATGTATTGCCATTTTTCTTTTCTTCTGAACATGAGGCCAACTTTAGTTGTACTGTATGAGGATTGGGTAAATTGAAATCCATCTCGAGCATATCAAATTGGGAAAATTTACCCATACAAACTAAGGGTGGCTGTTCAAATGTTCTCCTTTTCAACACTTGCCTGGAGTGATCCAAGTTGAACCAAATTTGCATTCTGCAACATGAAATCATGGGAACTTGACATTTTTTTTGTTCTCTTATTTTTCACCCTAAAGGCATAAATATACGCAGGGTGATAGCCTTGTTAACTACACCTTCCCCTTTTAAATTGTAATATAAAACAGTAAAAGCAATGATTTGCCGACAATTTTTTTGTCAGCCTGGCTGTAAGGATGGAAGGCCAGGAAAAAAGCAATAACAACGCAACAGCTCTGTTATTAAAGCTTCTCTTTCCAATTAACAAGCACAATTCGTATTTATGTATTTGACAGCAAAACTCAACCAAAGACTAAAGAAACATGCTCTTGGCACTTAGCATGCAACCTGAAAGGTCAACATCAACGAAACCATGCACAATCACAAGTCAAAGGTTCAAGAAACAAAAAAGCAAACAGAATCTTCACATTTTACAACCTGAAACTCATCCACGCTAGTAGAGATACTTGTGCAACTCATGTGATAGCTATCCCCATGCAAAATAAAGTATAACAGAAAAAAAGGACAATATACCCAATCCAATCCAGGAAATCCTAACTTCCTCACAACAACAATAACAATAGCAGCAACAAAAGTTATCAGGTATATGTTGAAGCAAAAGCAATCTCCGTTGGTTCTAATTTGGGCACTGGTATTTAGAGTAATCTCTGGATGCAGATGCAGGCCCTGCCTCATCCTGGACTTAAGAACATCTTCTGTCTTTGAGGTGTTCCATCTTAACAATTGCTGCAGCTCCCTCTCCTTATTTTCTCAACCAGTATGACCCCCATTGTATTATTATTGCTCTGGAAAACAAAAACCCAAATCCAAACACATTTTTAAAAATAGCAAATCAAACATGCGATTCCAGATTCCAAGCAATGCTCTTGAAACTGCCCAGAACTAAGAGAAAACTCTAGGAACAGAGCTATTTCCTTTCAAGCACAAACCACGTTTTATTGGTATCATTATTGGAATCTGATTTAAAAAATACAATTGTTCCTTAAAATATTGAAAGGTACATTCCAGCAATATATACATTTCATCTATTTAAATATTACACTGTAAAATGAAATTTTTTAACGAAACAATAACATTTTTATCAGCTTAAATATTTGAGAGCTCTTTGTAAGCTCTCTGTGGAATGCACAATTCGCATGAAATCCTAGTTTCCACCAAAACAAATGACGTGTAAGTGCTATATTCTGACTTGAAGCACTATGAATGGAAGCAAAAATTAACTGCCTGGTGAAATGCTGCAAAGCATTTGTTTTGAAAATGCACTGAGATGTGACAATTAATGGTATAAATACCTATTTATACAGTTGTATGTTTAGGACCAAAAATATGTATTTTAAATAATATCTGTTAGATCTGGGAGGACGGTTCAAGAACGGAGGCAAGACTCAGATAGCAACAGCAGCTCTTTATTAGTGACTTCAGATCTGAGCGACTAATCCCAGCCGCAGCAGCCCCTTATATAGGGCTGGCTGCGGCTAGGCAGCCAATGAAGGCGATTTGAGTTTGCCGCTCTTGGCAGGGCCAATCGCGGCAGCCCGTTTACTGGCCAATCGCATCAGTCTATGGCGACCAATCACGATCGGCTATCAGCGGGCCAATCAGGTTTGCAGGCTTCGAGCCTGCTAGTCCGGAACAATATCCATAACAATAAGTTTGCCTGTAGGCTTACTATTAAAGGACTTGTGCCATGAAAGGAAACTGATGGGGTGGGGGATGGGAAGGATAAGCTGGAGAGAGTCAGAAGATCAAGTGACAGACGCCAAACCACAGTGTTTGGCTTATAGGCAGCTGTCTGAATGAAGCGACAGTTTGACAGCTATTGAGGGTCAAGTGGTTATTCATTTTAAAAATCGTATTAAAGGCTGTTCAAGAAAATAATACTGGGAATTCTCATGTTAAGAAAGAAAAATACAACAAGGCACATCAATAAGTGGCAGAAGAAAGGCATGCACAGTTTCAGTCTTATTTTAATAAGATGTTAAGTCAGGGAATAAAAGAACGGGCAAGTTCTCAATGAAGAGGATAATGCCAAGTCCAGATTTTCTTCAGAGAAGGATGATTGCTGGTTGTTTTGTATTTGGAAATCTGAGATCATTCGTGGCAGGAACTGCAGAAGGATGCACTTTCAAATACTTTCTTGATACACAGAGAAGAGGGAAGAGAGCAGGAAGGGGAAGGCCTCTCTGGTTCGTGTATTTCACTACCCCTTGCCTTGCAGCTTGACCAGATATCAAGATATTTGACAGATTAATTTGACAGATGACAAGTTGTTTTAAGTCCATCAAAGATTAGTCTTCAGAGTCTGCCATTTGAATTAAAACCTAAAAGCCAGTAAATGTTCCTTTCCTATACTCTGGTATGACCATATGGTTTAATGTGT